GAGTCCCCGCCCGAAAAGAAAGAAATAGCCTAACTCCAAGATACTACATTCCTGCATCACGTGATTTTTGCCACGTGGAGCTTACATTAGAATGAATACCGAATATGGAAAGTGAAACTACAGTTCAAAACATAAAGTCCGAAGGCACATAGAAGAAAAAGAAGGATTTTTTTTTGCAAAGGGTGCCGGGGTAATCTTCTCTGTGTTCATAATATACACGAAATATTTGCCACTGCCCCTTGTCTGTTCTATAAATTGTAATCCTGAGTTTTCTATCTGTTACATGCCAAGAAATCCTCGCTAAAAATTCCGGTGGACCTCCTACGGCACCTATTAGTATTTAAAGATTTGATTTCATTCAACAAATTAATTTATGACCTGCAAGTACGTGTCGCTTAGAACACGGCCATATACCAAATGGTCAATATTAATCATCCATGTAATTTGCTCTATGGGATGTTTGCAAAATTTCAACGAAGGCAATTTCTTGGCATGTTTATTATCATGATGACATGTTTCAGTCAACATGGTTTAATACAATCTTTCAGAATTTCTAGATGAGCCCCGTATATTACACAAGGAAAAGAGTTTAAAATCAGTTGTTCGAATGAACCACTACTTTGAGTTGATGTCTGTCGACAGAGGCGGATAATTTAGAGGGGACCTATACATATTATGATAAATGCATAGAGCTTGTATAGCTTTTTAGCCTCCCTTTCAAATCCTGGAACCACACCTGCCATTATGGGTGGTTAAAGTAAGCAAGATATGATCATTTTGACAAATATCTATCTGACTTCCAGAAGATGATCCTGTGAGGCATACTACTCGACCTTTTTGTTTCTCCTCGGGTTGATATATACATCATGTACATTGATCTAACATTTATAGGCCAAATTTAAGACGAAGTACATGTATATATAAATTTTGGTGTTAGTCCTGTATAACCACAAGTTATCCGATGGAGAACGTCTGTCGTAAAATTGTCACATATTTAGACGTAATAACATTTTTATTTGATGTGACGGCATGGTAAGTGAAATAATCATCCTTTACGACAGACAAACTACTTGCCACTATACATCATGTACTGTGTTACATCCCTAGATAAAGCCGACGAGGAAAGGCATTACTCGATCAAAGAAAACTATATTTTATATAGCCTAGTTGGTCGAGTGGTATAGGGCGCTGGACACAGTGCAGGCGGTGTAAAAACGTTGCCACGATGTCTCAGATGCAAGGGTTCGAATCCCGCTCAATGAAAAACACACATTTGCAGTTCTAACATTGTTTGGCTAAATTAGAGACGAAGTATATATAATATATAGGTAGTATTTGTTAAGGATCGGACCTATGTTTTAAGTTCAGGACTCGCGATATATATTCTGATTTTACATACAACTGTGAATTCCTAATATAAGAATCTTACAAAATAGACCAAAATTCAGCTTTCATTTCGTATTTGAATGTTCCAAAATCAACCAAATTCGTATACATGTACATGTATACGTGCATGCACTTGCATAAGATCGATTTCTTTCCGACGCAGCTTATATATATGTGTATAATATAAAGAGAGAGGGAGAGAAAAAATGGGGGTGGGGTCCATTCCCCTGAAGCGCCTGTGCCGGGATATGTCAGTCTATGCACAAAGTAAAAGAGACTCAATAAACTGTTAATTTCTAGCTGGGACCGGGACTAATTCATGTATTATCTATTAATCCCAGTGTGTAGGATTTTTCCGTATAAATTTTAATTAATGGTCCTCAATACCATTTTTTTTAAATGAAGAGGTAGACAAAATGATAGAATAAACATGTAAAAAAAAAATTGAATCATTATATTCAAATTATTAGAAATAAAAATAGTAGAAAATCCAAATATATTATAGGTGTATAATAATTATGTTTGTAAACATAATCTAGGACTATTATATACGTGACACGATAAGCTGTCTATCAAAACAAACAATCAATAATCCGCTATCGGGATAGTGCAATCTCAACAGATTGATCAGTTTCCAGTGCCGTTAGTGTAATAGCCCCAGACATAATCAACTTGTCTTTTTTAGCTGTACATTGACATCATTGTACCCGGAAATTCCGTGCCCAACCGTGAGTGGTTTAATTTTTTAATGGAAAGGGTTACACTAATGTCCTGACCAATGTCCTGACTAATGTCCTGACCAATATGAAAAATGCTTATAACTTTTTCGTTCTTTGAAGTATAAACTTCAAATTTGATGTCAAGGACGATTATAACATTACATATATAAATATAAGAAAAAATATATAAAAAAATAATTTAAAGTGTTGAAAGTCTTGACCTGACCAAAGTCGACTCTGCCCTGACTAATGTCCTGACCGATGTAAAATTGCTAATTTCTTTTTTGTTCTTCAAAGGCTCGACTTCAAATTTGATGTCAAGGAAGATTATAGCATTAAATATAGGAATAAAAGAAAAAATATATAAAAAAATAATTTAAAGTGTTGTAAAACTTGACCTGACCAAAGTCGACTCTGCCCTGACTAATGTCCTGACCGATGTAAAATTGCTAATTTCTTATTTGTTCTTCAAAGGATCGACTTCAAATTTGATGTCAAGGAAGATTATAGCATTAAATATATGAATAAAAGAAAAAATATATAAAAAAAATAATTTAAAGTGTTGTAAAACTTGACCTGACCAAAGTCGACTCTGCCCTGACTAATGTCCTGACCGATGTAAAATTGCTAATTTCTTATTTGTTTTTCAAAGGATCGTCTTCAAATTTGATGTCAAGGAAGATTATAGCATTAAATATATGAATAAAAAAAAAAATATGAAAAAAATTAATTTAAAGAGTTAGAAAACTTGACCTGACCAACGTCGACACTGCCCTGACTAATGTCCTGACCGATGTTAAAATGTTAATCACTTTTTTATTATAGAAACAATTGACTTAAAGTTCGTTACCAAAGAAGATGATAACATTAAATATAAGAATTTATGAAAAAAAAATTTTGCTAATTTTTGAAATGTTAGAAAACTTGACCTGACCAACTTGATCTTTGCTATGATGAATGTCCTGACCGATATAAAAATGCCAATAACTTGTTTGTTGTTGAAAGGGATATTACCAAGATTTGTATCAGGGAAGATTACAACACTTAGTATAAGAATGTAAAAAAAAAATTGTAAAAAAAATATTTAAAAGGTAAAACAACCTTGACCTGATCTAGGGTTACCTTGTCCTCGCCAGTGTCCTAACCGATGAAAAAAGACAAATATAAATATATCTGGGTTTTTCTCTCTCAATAGACAGAATAGACTTCTTTAAATTATATTAATACTTCATTTTTTAAATATAGTTAAGAAAGAAGATGCACTTTTAATTAATTGAAATGAAAAGATGTATAGAAGAAAGCAAAAGGACAGTGACATGATAAAATTATGTTTTAAATGTTTATATTTCTATAAGTATGTGATTCTAACATAATTTTACTTTGATTACTTGTATAAACATTATTTTGAAATCAAACGAAGCCCATTTCCTGTCCTTATTTATGTTATTTGACACTGTATATTTAATCCCTCATTAACTAAAAAAACAGAAATTGAGTGAAATAAAAAGAAAATATAGGTAAGTAAACACTGCAATTTGTGTTAACTGTAATTAATATAGGTGTGATTAAATTTTAATTGTTCATGTCCCTGTCTTTTGACTTTATTGAATTCTGTACATCTATATCATTTTAATTTTTGAAAGTAGGAAAAGTGCATTTACTAAGTATCTTAATCATCATACATAAGGTTATCTAATCACATATCACTTTTATAATTATTTAATATGGTTTAATAAATCAGTAATTAATTTACACTTAACCAAGTTTATAGAATTATGAAAGTAGGGGTCAGTACTCACTGTCAACAACCAGTAATCATATTTACCAAATCATTTCAAATTAACAAAAAAAAAAATACTTTGAATGTTGTGTTTTTGAGGGGATTGGATAAATATGTTTTCATGATTATACAAGGCAAGAATTAAAACAGTTTCTGTGAAGTTTTGATAGGGGTTAATTGTGATCATTTCAAGTTCCATGTTGCTTAAAATTAAAAAGTGCACCTTCTTTCTTAACTATTTTATAAAAAAAATGGAATATTGATAAAATTCAAAGAAGTTTATTCTCACTTTTGAGAAAAAAAAAACAGTTATATTTTTTTATCGGTCAGGACATTGGCGAGGACAAAGTATAGATTGGTCAGGTCGAGTTTTTTTTACCTTTAAAATTATTTTTTTTTTACAATTTTTTTTTTAAAGTCTATTACTAAATGTTGTCATCTTCCCTGATACCAAACTTGATAATATCCCTTTCAACAACAAAAAAGTTATTGGCATTTTTATATCGGTCAGGACATTCACCATGGCAAAGATAAAGTTGGTCAGGTCAAGTTATCTAACATTTCAAAAATTAACAAACATTTTTTTTTCATAAATTCATATTTTTTATGTTATATTCTTCCTTGGTAACGAACTTTAAGTCAATTCTTTCAATAATAAAAAAAGTGATTAACATTTTTACATCGGGCAGAACATTAGTCAGGGCAGAGTCGACGTTGGTCAGGTCAAGTTTTCTAACCCTTAAAAAAAAAAAATTCTATATTTTTTCTTTTATCCATATATCTAATGGTATAATCTTCCTTGACATCAAATTTGAAGTCGATCCTTCGAAGAACAAAAAAGAAATTAGCAATTTTACATCAGTCAGGACATTAGTCAGGGCAGAGTCGACTTTGGTCAGGTCAAGTTTTACAACACTTTAAATTATTTTTTTATATATTTTTCCTTATATTTATATATGTAATGTTATAATCTTCCTTGACATCAAATTTGAAGTTGATCCTTCAAAGAACAAAATAGTTATTAGCATTTTTCATATTAGTCAGGACATTAGTCAGGACATTGGTCAGGACATTAGTGTAACCCTAATGGAAATCCCTTTTGCTAAAATTAGAACTTTGATAGACTAGAAGGGATCGACAGAGTGGTGGACAGAGCTTCAGGTTTGTTTATTTAAAAAGTAAGAAACACAACAAGAAGATGCAAAAAGCTCTTGATTATTTTGATACTTATGTTGTGTCAGTTTATATCTTGTGCAGCATGTGTAGAGCCTTCACAAAAGGGATTACCAAGACCTGATTATAAAAACAATCCTGATACTAATATCAAAGTTGACACAACTTGTCTCTCTGTACTGTTTTTTTTTTATTTTTATTTTATGGTACAGCGTTGCACATGGTAATTTCTGGCGGTACTTCCGATGTTAAGGCACAGGATCGGGATTCAATTTGAATCCATGACAAATCGCCCCACTGGAAAATCGCCCCACACCTAATCGCCCCACTTTTTCACCAACTCGCCCCACTTTCTAAAAAATAGCCCCACTTTTGTTTGCCAACTCGCCCCACTTATGAAAAGGGTAAAATCCCATTGAAAACAGGTTGGATAACTTGCCCCACTTATGAAAAGGATTAAAATCCCGCTGAAATAAGGTCTGCCAACTCGCCCCACTCATGACAAAAAGATAAACCACGACGAATTTAGTAATACCAACTCGCCCCACTTATGAAAAAAGATGCAATCCCGTTGTACAAATGTATGTCTATGTCCCTGCCCCACTTATAAATAAAATCAATACCTAATGAAATGAGATTAAATTAATAATACCAATTAAGAAAATAATAATGATTGAATAATAATCAATAGAAAATGATTATAATAATGTTTAATCAATATAACATTATAATATCAATAATAGTAATATAATGATATACATTTTGGAATGGGTTTACAGGAATATATAACTACGTGAATTTGGATTGGATATTGGCAAAATCAGAGACTTTATTATATGTCTCTGGCAAAATAAAACACGTGTCTCATTACATCAATATACAGAATGAGATATCAAACATAAATAGAATTTGAATGGATGGCACGTGCTATCGTATATACACGTGTCAAATTGTTTCATGCAAGGATATAAGAAAAAAATGTGTTTAATTACTGCTTAGTTTTTTCCATTTTTGAATTAAGATTAAATTCAAACTAACTCAAATATTTTTATTGGTGACTACTCGTGTTTACTAACAAAAACAAAAACATGACACACGCTTATTGTAAATGAATGAATGGACATTCTCTTTGGTATTTACTTGAAAGTAACATTACGAAAATTACATGATAATAGATAATGTATTTACAACTATATTTTAAAAAAGTGAAACATCATTTAATTTCAATAATAATAATTTAATGAATTTTCTTTTTTTTTTGTATTCTGTGTAGATTAGTTTTCATTTAAGTGGGGCGAGTTGGCAGACCTGAAAATTATATATTCATCTAGATTTTACCTTTTTTTTTATTAAGTGGGGCGAGTTGGCAGGAGTAAAATTACCGAGATTTAACCCTTTTCACAGGTATGATTTTACCTTTTTTCATTAAGTGGGGCGAGTTGGCAGGAGTAAAATTAACGGGATTTAACCCTTTTCACAAGTGGGGCGATTTTTTAAAAAGTGGGGCGAGTTGGTAAACCAGTTTGGGGCGATTTTTTTAAAAGTGGGGCGAGTTGGTGAAAAAGTGGGGCGATTTGGTGTGGGGCGATTTGCCAGTGGGGCGATTTGTCCTGCTTCCTTCAATTTCAGGGCTTGTCAGTTCTTGAAATCGCCATGATCTTGCTATATATCCCCCTACAATGCACATATGCCAACTTTTCATGAAGCAAATGCGTGAGATTTGGCTAAAATTGTAAAGATCAAAGAGAAAAAACAATAGATCAAAGGAAAATGCCGCCAACTAAGCATGAAAATGCGTGAGTCTCACGCTAAATGTGTGAGACTTGGCAGCCCTGACAATTTGAGTTGTTGCTTTGTAGCTTTCTCTCTTTGGTGATACATGTAATGTGACATCATGTCTTTTGGGACGTTCAGCATTTCCATTTGTCTTAGCATATCTTCTGTTTCATGATGGTGTCTTGGGCAGTATAGTACTTAATAAATGTTCTGTTGTTTCTTCTTCACCTCATTCACAATATTATGGCGCGAGGGACTGACCTATTTGGTTTCTGTATTTATTTAATCTGCTATAACCTGTTCTCAGTTCTGACAAATTTCTTCCTTTTAGACAAGGGGTTATATGTATCTCTATATAAGACATCTTTGCTAGCCAAGGGTAACGACCCAACCCACTCCTCTTCAGGGTGTCTAATTGTAACCCTTGGCTATCAAAGATGTATATTAGAGGGCCTTAATTTTTAGACCATAATTATTTTCCCACTGGCTACAATTATGCTTTTCTTTGTAAATTCTTTATTTACATGTAGCAATAATTTCAGTTTCTTACAAAATAAATACTTCTTCAATATTAACATGATTAAATCAAGATTTATGGGTGATAACTCAATTGTATTGAATTAAATCAACCATTAATTCCTGTAATTTGGTTTGGTTATTGAATTCAGTTCAGTAATTTTTAAGACTTTCAACAATCTGAATGTAAACATGAACATTTGATAAAAAATATAATCCTGAGGTCTTATTTATAGTAGGCAGATTTCAAGCACAAGGGGACCTCAGATTATGCATCTCTTTTAAGTGGTTCTAATCTAATATATCATAGTTGTGAATGAGTTTATAAGCAAATAAATGCCATTTTAACTCATTTGAATGCATTATGAGGCATAAGCCATTCAGTATATATTTATAATTGGAGATTTTTAAGTGTCAGGTTTACTCCTTATGTTGGGGAAACCCCCATTATTCAGGAAATGGCATGTCTGGATCTTATTTTTGCTGCTGACTTCAGTGCACAGGATTGAGTCATGTCTTTCTAGAATAACTTAATTCCTATAAAGTAATAAAAGTTAATTTGAAGGCATGGAGCACATACTTTTGTTTACTTAACATGCATCCAATGGCAAATTTTTCATGAATTATTCATCACAACTTACAAGTCCATTTTGAAAACAAATATTACAAATTTTTACTAACTTTCAATTTTGCTAAAGTATTTATTTAAATGTAAACAGATTATATGATTATACAATTTTACTATCACTACTACAACCATGCATTCTAACTCCCATATTTTCAATCATTGTTGTGAATTACATGAATTAAGCACTTTAAATAAATCTTTGATGGGTCCATAGTCTGTTGCAAGGCAGACATGTTTGCCCCTACATGTATCTAAAATACCATTGTTTTCTAGGGACAGTCATATTTTCTTGCCCTTTATTCAGGGTTTTCACTATGGGAAGTCCATGAGTCCTGGACTTATCTTTTTGAAAAGTGGTGAGTCCAAAGATGCATCAAGTTGTAAAATGTTGTGTCCACTGAGCACATATATACATCATGTACATTGTATCATCAGTGTATAATAAGTTTATAACAGTAATTAAATTTGATGTCATTTCCTTGCTCTATTTTGTCATTAATTGAGACTCAAATAATAAATTAGATGTATATATATATATAGCAATAAAATGTCATTTTCACACTGTTGGACTCGTCTTCAAAAATCCATAGTGAGAATTGGTCTTCTTCCTTGCAGAACCTACTTATTGCATTAATTGTGAGTAGTTTCTCTGCATGTATTTACATGAAATAATTGCCACTGGATGTTTAGCAAACAACAAACAATAGATCAATCAATTATACCAGGTAATCAATTAAGAAAATCTATTACATGTATGATATGGTGTTAAGTGTACATGGTGTAGATGAATGGCAACCAACTAGTTCCTTTTCATGGTCATGATCATGATGATGGAAAAGTGATACTTTTTGTCGAGCTGCGACTTTTGTCGCAAAAGCGAGACATAGCGATCCTACATTCGGTCGGCGTCATCAGCGGCGGCGTCCACAAATATTCACTCTGTGGTTAAAGTTTTTCAAATTTTAATAACTTTCTTAAACTATCCTGGATTTCTACCAAACTTGGACAGAAGCTTGTTTATGATCACAAGATAGTATCCAGAAGTAAATTTTGTAAAAAAAAAATCCTGTTTATCCATATATTACTCATAAATGGACTTAGTTTTTCTGCCAGTTAACATTACATTCACTCTGTGGTTAAAGTTTTTCAAATTTTAATAACTTTCTTAAACTATCCTGGATTTGTACCATACTTGGACAGATTTTTTTTTAAGCTTGTTTATGATCATAAGATAGTACTCAAAAGTAAATTTTGTTAAAAAAAAAATCCTGTTTATCTGTATTTTACTTATAAATGGACTTAATTTTTCTACCAGTTAACATTACATTCACTCTGTGGTTAAAGTTTTCAAAATTTTAGTAACTTTCTTAAACTATCCTGGATTTGTACCAAACTTGGACAGAAGCTTGTTTATGATCAAAAGCTAGTATCTACAAGGAAATTTTGTAAAAAAAAAATTTCCTGTTTTTCTGTATATTACTTATAAATGGACTTTGACGTTGGCGTAGTCATCGTTGTCGTCATCCGAAGACACATTGGTTTTCGCACTCTAACTTTAGTTTAAGTGAATGGATCTCTATGAAATTTTACCATAAGGTTCAATACCTCAAAAGGAAGGTTGGGATTGATTTTGGGGGTTATGGTATCAACAGTTATGGAATTAGGGGCCAAAAATAAGCATTTTTGTAACTTCCAGACATAACTTGTGTGTTAGTGTATGGATCTCTCTGAAATTTTACCTCAAGGTTCCATATCACAAAGGAAATGCTGGGATTGATTTTGGGGGTAATTGCCTCAAAATTTTAGGAATTCGGGGCCAAAAAAGGGGCAAAAAACAAGCATTTTTCTAGTTTCCAGACAATAACTTGTGTTCAAGTGTATGGATCCCTCTGAAATTGTACTGCAAGGTACCATATCACAAAGGGAAAGCTGGAAATGAGTTTGGGGGTAATTGCCCAAAACGTTTAGGAATAAGGTGCCAAAAATTAGCATTTTTCTAGTTTCCAGACAATAACTTGTGTTCAAGTGTATGGATCTCTCTGAAATTGTACTGCAAGGTACCATACCA